TCTAGGTTTTTTTTTTTATGTTGGCAACAATCCTCAGGTGTGCCGTATACACTCCGCACCATGCTGTTTGGTTCAGCTGGTGTTTTACAATTGACCATCAGTTTTCAATCTACCACAGTAGGCCTAAGAAGAAATTAACACCCGTCATAGAACAGTTATTACAATAGACTTGTACTGAAGTTATATGAATGTGGGCTTTTTCTCTAGATATCTTATTGTACTGTGGTTCTGAGCAGCCTTGCTGTATGAGGTTTTTTTCTTTCATCACTTAAAGGACGCATGTTACAGCTTCTCTTTGGTATATCTTACATAAATAAGAGCTGTTTGAACACAAGCACTTTCAGACCTGACAGAGGATCTGATGGCTGAGATTACTAGCAAATGATTAAAGGCTGGGTAGTACACACAGTAAGGATACCAAAGTGATGGTTCCTGCTTTGAGACCATGCTATTCCTAGGTGGGACTACATGGTGTGCTGTGCCAAGATTTCATGCTGTTCAGAACAGTGTGAAATTTAATGAAATGCATGAATTGTATGCTCTGGAATTTCCCATACAGTATTTTTGGACTGTGGTGACTGTGTATAACTGAAACCACAGATGGTGAAAGTGCCAATAAGGGATGAGTGCCCCATCAGAATTTCCTTCCTTTTTAAGGCTGATAATATTGCATTGTGTGCATAAGACCATTTTTTTGCATATCCATCTACTTGCGGATGGACACTTGGGCTCTTTTTCTGCCTTTTAGCTGTTATAGTGATGCTATGAACATACGTATACAAGTATCTTTGAATCTTTGCTTTTACTTTTCTGGATTATATACCCAAAAGCCCTAGAGTGGCATTGCTGGATCATATGGCAATACTTGGATTTATGGGGACCATTATACTGTTTTCCATAGTGACTGTACCATTTACACTCTTAACAATTTCTCTATGTCTTCCAACACATGTTTTTTGTTTTTGTAATATCTGTACTAATAGGTGCCAGTTATTTCTTTTGTGCCTGTTATCTCCAATTTCTTTTTTTGAACTCTATTTAAGCTTTTGTTCTTTTCTCTTTATCCTCTTTCTCTTAAAAGAGCTTTGTTTCCTGTCCTTTTGCCTCTCTGTGCTTTATTCTGGATATTCTGTTGAAAGTTATGGTTCAGTCTTGTTTAATTTTCTCTTTCATATATATTGCACTTTAAACCACTGAGAATTTAATTTTGTCGGTTGTATTACTTTTGTAAAATCTATGTCACTTTTGAAAAGCTTTCATGTTTCCAAAATTTTGGTCATTTATTTAATCTTAGATACGGTAAGAATTGTTATATTAAACTGCATCCAGAGTTCAAATGAATCTTTGTTTCTGTTTTCAGTCATGTTGTTCTAAGTGCTTGGTTATCTTTGGCTGGGTTTTAGATGTTATCTTTGAAAAATTGTTAACAGAAATAAATCAAGGGTTATTAAATAATGCTTTTATTCTTGGTTTTGATAGGTTTTAGTCTATTTTCAATTATTTGATTTTAATATGCATGAAGATATAGCTATTTTGAAGAAAAAAGAGATTACAGTAGCCATTATTGATTTCCTAGAGGCTGGACTTGAGAGCTTTTAAGGCTCTCATTCTTGTGTTTGGATTGTTTTTATACTATTTCGATTTGCATTAACTTATTGTGTATGAAAGTATGGACAACTGTTTGGAAGAAAACAGACATTATCACTGTTGATTTCTTGCTGTTTTTTTCTGAAATCTTGTGTTATTTGCATTGTTCTACTCTGCTATGATTTATTCTGTTTGCTTTGCTTTGTTTTGTTTTATTCTCTTTTTAAAAATAAGTAGAGGGCTGGACTATGATGATGTTATTTGCACTCAAATGATTTTTGTTTTTAGCTATGGCTTTAGGGCACACATATCAGAAATTAGAACTTTTCTGGGTCACTTGAATGCTAATAAAGCCATTCGGGTTTCTACCTAAGTTGTAGGGGTTACCTAGCCACCAATCTTGAAGGCTTTTGGAACTAACTTTTGTCCTCCTAAGTGATTCAAGGTTATCTAAAGTAATTCTTAATCAAAGCTGAGGCATATGGACTGCAAGTTTGAGGCCGGCCTTGATGCCTGAACTTTATTATTTTTTTAATTTAAGAATTGCTTTGTTAGAACATACTTATAGTACATAAGATTACATTCATTATGGGGATTAGCACATGAGCATAAAACATCTTAATTTTTTACTTCCCACTCTGTATTAGAACTTTAGTCTTCCTATGTTTCTTGACCTAATAGTTTTTCTCTATACTTTTGTACTATACCCAATGTGTTTGTTTTCAGCGGGAGGGCCGGCCTTGATAATTTATCATCTCCTTTATAAAAGCATCTTTGTTTTTTTCCAAATCCATTTTATTTCAAAGAGAAAAAAAATGAAAATCATCTTTAAATTTATTACAAAGAAAGTAGAAAAAAGTGTGTTGGGGCTGAGAATGTGTCTCAGGTAGAATGTGTGAAGCCTGACATCCTAGTGATGGCTATATATTTGGAAAATTCTGAGGAAATGTGAGAGAGTGTGCCTCAGATTCAAAGAGTTTAGCTAGGGAAACAAGGTAAACACATTGGATGAGATAAAATGTTGGAGGAGGTGTGTAAAGTTCACACATGTTTGTTAATGGCCAGGTGAAGACTAAGGGCAGTAGGTGCTGAGTGGCCTTATGTCCTGCCTGAAAGCGCCAGTCCCCTTGGCACTCCCCATTGCAGCCTTGTAGTGGCTCCTCCACTTCCACCCACACTAGGCTGTCTTGGGCACCTCCCTGAAGCCCCCTCCCCTTCCGTGATAGGCTCTCTTCCAGCTGGTAGGGGTTTTTTACCCACCTACTGTGAGGCCAGTACCCCTCCTTATCCCTCTCTCGCCTCAAACCTCACTCTTCCCTTTGCTTTTCCCTAGGATAGGTGATTGAACCTCAGGCTTTCTGCAGTAAGCTACATCCTCACTCTTTTTTCGTTAATTTTGAGGCAAGGGCTCATTAAGTCCCTACGTTGCCCTGGCTGGGCTTAAATTTGCGATTGTAAAGTGCCCTGTACACTGTGTTCACTATCAGCCCTGTCCCACTGCCTCAGCCCTTGAAGAGTGCTGATGACCAGGTGTTTAGCCCTTGTCAGGTGCATACCACAATGTCAAGCACTTTTTATACATACTTGTAAACCCTCATAGCGGACTAGAAGTAGCTGTTACTATTTTCCTTATTTGGTGTCACGGCTTATTATTGGTGTGTTGTCTTTCTGGGAAAGAACTTTATTCATTCCCCACCCCACCCCACCCCTTCCTCATTAGCGAAGTGGAAATAAGAGAAGGATCTGAGCTGTCAAGATACCCGCTGTGGCTGGTGATCCATCACATCCTTGCCCTCTAGGTTTTGTTGCTTTGGTTGAGCCAGACATTTCTGTGTGGTGAACGTTTTTACTTCCTCTCAAAGTCTAGTAGTTTATTGTGCCCTGGTTACCTGGATGTTTCTCTGTGGTTTAGCTGCATCTGCCAGTCTTCCTAGGAGCTGTCATCCTAGACAAGCTGAAAGTCTGTTCCCCTAGACTTCATAGTTTCATTGACTCAGACTCTGGAAACACGGTATTCCTATCAGTCTTGAATGATGTTGAGCAGTGTGGTGGGAAGCAAAGTCCTCACTGTTAGCATTTCTGAATGACTAACATGCCACCTCCCATCAGCAATGCAATTGTGCAGGTGCCTAGGATCAATCCAATTAAACGGTGAGCTGATTTTTTAAAAACAGTTGTTTTGGATTTATAGCCAAAATTGCAGGCCAGAGGAGCGTATCCCCCTGCACCTTATCCATTCTCCCTTTTATTATGTCTATGATAGACTCAATCATTGCATATTCAATGCTATACCAATTTTGGTATATTAATGGACGTTCATGCCCTTAGTTTTTACCCAACGAAAAAGTAGCATTTTCTTGTTCTAGAGTCCTATTCAGCATACCACATTACATGTAATTGTCCTGTCGTGGTGCGCTTAGCTGTGACATTTTTTTAAGACTTGTCTTTGCTGACTTAAACGATTTCAGGGAGCATACTTTACGTAAGGCGTTTCCGTGTAGTCCAGGCTTAAATTTAGTAAGGATAACGGAGTCGTACAACCTTACTGGCAAAACGGCGTATCAAAAGTTTTTAGGTGAATAGTAAAACTCTCCAGCAGGTTTTTCAAAGCTCCTTCATTAACTTACACATTACACGACATTGAAGCGTAGAGCATTCAGCGCCCTCTACTGAAAAAAGAAGAAAAACGCTGTATAGTAATAAACACCTATTTTTGGGCTTACAAGACGGGAAAAAATGTTTTGGTTTTTTTTTCCAAAAATTGCACCAAGGTAAAGCGAAGCTTTAGTTGATGCGAATGTGTTGTGCAGGTGTTAGCAGTACTGTCCTCACTAAACGTTCATTGGACAGTAGCGCAACCCCAAGAAAAGGATGGTTAAAAGGTTTTGCCACATGAACTGCAAGCAGAAAGTGCCAATACTAGGTAGGGTTGTGGTGACTAGTTTAGGACTCCCATTATAGCATGCCTCTTAGCTCGGGTAGCTCCAGTGACCACAACTACCTATGTAAACCAGCTACCTCTGCTTTTTCCTTGGGTCTGAAAGAGGCCACCAAAGACAGCGAGGTATTACCCAGAATACTACGCGCCAGCAGGGCGAAAATTTGCATTGCGCCCCTTGGGGGCGGGACTGGTGGGGCGGGGCTTCCGCACGCTTTCGTAGTCTGGTAGTTCTTGCTTTAGGGCGATCCTGTGATAGTTTCTTTATTTCTCGCCCCGTCATATTTTTTTATTAAAACTATAAACGGCTTTTTTCGTGTAGGGCCATTCTTCCCCTTGCTAACTGTTTAGCCTTTCCAGTTCGTGTGCGCGCTCCGGACTGCACTGGCCCAACATGCGCGGGCATCCATGAGGGGCCGGCGCTGCGCTGCGCCCGCGACCGCCGCTGACTGGCTTTTGGTGTTTCCCGTTGCAGGTAGTTCTTCTGGGCATGGACATCCTGTCGGCCCTGGTGACCCGGCTGCAGGATCGGTTCAAGGCGCAGATCGGCACAGGTGAGCTATGAGCAGTATAGAGTTGGCCCCATCCTTCGCTCAGTCTTCTCAAATCCGCCACTAAGCTGCACCTATCAGTTCCAGACACCTGCGCAGTTCCCATCCTGTCTCCTGAGCTTCTCTCAGACCCTTAGCCCATCCTCCTGCAGTCTTCCCTGCCTCCTCCAGCAGACCCACACCTCGGGATCCCTCACCTGCTGGGCTCGGGTCTCGGTACTGAACCTGCAGCCATTTTACCCGCACCCTTTCTTGCCTTTGTGCTGGATTCTCCCAGCTTTTGTGTTGTCATATGGAATGTTACTAATACATGTTCTAAGCTGAGATATTACTGCCGGCTTGATTTCTTTTCATCATCCTTTAGTGTCAACCAAATTATGTTTAACCTTTCCTTTATTAAGAGCCACTTTTCTTTAAGAAATTTTGCAAAATTGAGATTAGATTTTCCCCCAAATTATCATTGACATTCCTAGTCTCACGTTGGTTGTAAATAATGGTAAATGCTCACTCTTTATTTTGAAAAGAAAATGTCAGCAAGTAGAAAAGCACAGATTTTTATAGATTTAGACATCAGTAAATTTTCGACCCCTGTTATTTCTTGATGACAGTGTAAAACACCAAGCAGTTCTATTTGTGCAACCATTTCCTTATAGAATTTCTCTTTTTGGGCTTTGCATATGCTGTGTGAACACTTTATTGTTTAACTACACCCTCAGCTTAAATGTAGCCGTTTCTGTCAGGATGGGTGCTAGTTCTTTGGTGAAAGTGCGCTTTTAGAAATAATAATGAACTATATTCTTGTTTGGCACCATTTAACAGTATATCTACAAATTTAAAAAGAACTTACTATTACAGATTTATTATTTTAATGTTTCATTTTTCTCCTAAATTAGCTGAATGACTCAGGTTTTTCTTATAATGGAGGTTTATAGATTCTTAAAAGAAGCCAAGTAAGCTGACCTGTGGTAGACAGGTACCCTTGGAGACAGTAAGGGCAGCCCACACCGGTGCGGTGGGGGTGGGTGGGAGCAGAGAATTAGACTCCGTTTGTGTGTGTATGATAAATACAAAGCACACACTGCCAGTGAAACATAACACTGATCTGTAGGTGCCTACCTTTTACTCCCAAGCAGGTATGGGGGCTCTTCCCCTTTCTTACTCAGATTTTTTTTGTGTGTTGTCTCTCTTTTTTTTTTTTTTTTTTGTCTTTTTCGTTTTTATCGGTACCAGGGATCGAACTCACGACTGCCTGCTTGCAAGGCAGGCGCTTATGCCGCTGAGCTAAATCCCCAGCCCCTGTGTGTTGTCTCTTATCTGCAGTTATGACTATCTCACTAGCTTACAAATATGTTGGTAGCTGGCTGGTGGAAAATGAAGTAGAGGAAGAAACAAGTTGTCCATACAAAGGATTTTGCAATCTTACAATAAACTTGTCAATTTCAGCAAGAATAGAGCTGTTTGCCAAGGTGGATGGATATAAAATGAGATATATCAGGCCAGGGTTTTTTGTCTTCTTAGTTTCTTGAAATATCAGTAGTTCATGACCATAGGCCCCCCAAATTGGTTTCATTTGACCAGTTTCTATTTTGGTTTTCAGTGCTGCCGAGCCTAATAGACAGACTGGGAGATTCTAAAGACTCTGTGAGGGAACAAGACCAGACTCTGCTGCTAAAAATCATGGATCAAGCTGCTAATCCCCAGGTATGGTAGGAGAAGCATCTGGGGGCCAGTGGGTATGTGTCTTCATGTACAAACAATATGGCTGTATAGACTTATTTCCTTTAAGCTGATGTAGTAAAGGTGGCCATGTTCATAGTATCTAATCTGCTTCCTCTCCTAAGCAGCAAGTATGTGAATAAATAGTAAAACATTCGTTCAGTTTTTTAGACTCTAGCTCATTTATATGACTAGTTCTCCATTTTCCTGAAAAAAAAAAAAAATGCAGCTACAGTGCCTGCTGTCTAGGAAGCTAGGCTTACTGGGATAAAAGGAGGAAGCCCTGTCTTACAGGGTTCTACTGTTGATTGTAGTGATGGGGTAGGAGTGATCAGCAGAGGCCTTCCCAGGAAAGACAAAACTCAAGTTGCCATGAAAGATGACCATGTGTTTCACTTCCATGTGGATGATGTCTTAGTTACTTTCTTGTTGCTGAAGTGTAACACCCAACACCTACAAGTAAAGGAGGAAAGGGTTATGTCAGTTCACAGTCTGCTTGCATCAAGGCAAGACGCCATGGCAGGGCCATTGCAGAAGAGAAACGGTTCATGGCAAGGCAAGCAGAAGTGAGGCAGCAGTAGCAAGCTTCCTCTTCCTTTCTGTCCCATCCAGGCTATGCGCCTTTTGGGTGGTGTCACCCACACCCAGGGTAGGGCTTCCCATTATGCACATCCAGCACTGTGCTATACCAATTAGTTGTCACGTACCCTTACTCTCAGCATCACACACCCTAGATCCTGTCACCTCTGAAAAGTCCCACCTCAGAGTGCATGAAGCTTTGGGGGGCATCTAGACACAATCTGCAACCGATGAGGAGAGCAGTGTGAGTGGGTATGTGATCTTTGGCAGGCCACCAATTCTCCTTTTGGTCTTGCTTTTCTCACCTATGGTGTGGGACCAGCAAAACTTCCTTCTAGATTTGTTGAGAGAATTGCATGCGTTTCTGTTAACTCATGTGTTTTGAATATTTCTAACATGGTATATTTGATAAAATGATACGAAATATAAACACTCTTGTGAGGGTCCAGTAGGTTGACCCCTTACTAAGTGGAAGGTGGAAATGGTCTTCTGTCTTTTCACCTGTTCTTTGTCACCTACAGTACGTATGGGACAGAATGCTCGGAGGCTTTAAACATAAGAATTTCCGCACGAGAGAAGGCATCTGTCTCTGTCTTATTGCAACACTCAATGCGTAAGTCTGGGATGAACCTGAACTTTTTACTGTAAAAGCTGAAGCTTTTAAAAACATTTATTTTAGATTCAGGGAAAGTTGCACAGAAATGTACTGCGAGATAGCTTTATCTCTCTCCAGCCCTTTTCCACTATTAATATGTGCATAAGGATCATACAGTGTCAATACCAGGAAAGTGATTTTGGTATAGCCACAGAGCTTATGCATAGTGCCCAGGTGACAGGCATCACCATGATGCCCTGCCATAGCCATATCCTGACTTTTGTGTGCTAATCTGTGCTGTGATTTTGTCATGTCAATGTTACATAAATGGAATTATAGATTATGTCACTTTTTTAGATTGCCTTTTTTTACCCTTAGCATAATTCTTTTCAGGTTGCAATGCATGTTGTTTATGGTAACAATTTTTATTGCTAAGTAGATATCCATGGAATAGATAGAGCTGTTTATTTAATGATTTGCCTGTTGGAAAATTTAGGGGATGTCTAGTTTTCAGAAGAAAGTTGTTATTACAAACATATATAAGTTTCTGTATGAACATAAGTTTTCGTTTTTCTTAGATCAGTGCCTGATCGTGCAATATCAGGGTCATTTGATAAGGCTATTTTTAAGTTTAAAGAAACTACCAGTTTCTTTTCAAGAGTAGTCTGTGCCATTTTACATAATATATTCACAAAGCATATTGGTGACAGCAGGGCCTGTTTTGATTAAGAGTTGTAAAGACCTTGAAGGTCCCCTAGGAGAGGCAGTGTACAGTCCAAGGCCCTGTGGCTGCCACTGTTGCTCAGTCTCACAGGTCAGCGGCATTCATGGGATGTCTGCTTTGCCACAGCACACCGAGAGTTCCACTGAGGCCTATCCAATGACTTACAGTTTGGTTGGCTCTTCTAGGGTTGGTAGCACAGGAGATGTGACCTGACAAAGCAGTGACATAGAGCTGGCATATTCTATTGTGAGGCAAGCAGGAAGGTGATGGGGAGGCTGGGCTACCAGCTTAGCTGTGAAGGGGCAGGGCCACTGAAGGTGCAGGGGTGCTGTCAGGGTGCTTTTACTTTGGAGCCAGCATTGGGTGGGATGGAGAGAACCTTGGTGTGAAGGGGTGATAGGCCCTGGGGAGGCAGGGGACAGGGCAGCTGCAGGAGGAGAATGTCTCTCTTCTTCTCACTAACAATGCGCTCATTCTGTTTTCAGCTCTGGAGCACATACACTAACACTAAACAAGCTCGTGCCACATATATGTAATTTACTTGGAGATCCAAACAGTCAGGTGAGTGCAACAAACTCCTAGGGAAAAAACCAATGGTTCAGATGCATTAAAGTGTTCTGTGTATGTCTAGTGGGTAACTGGGACTTTATTCATCTCTACAGAGTTCTGGTTATTGTTTAAGATACCAGCTACTATTAGCAAGTTGACCACTCTGTCTTCTTCTTTAGATAGGGTTGAAAATCACTCTTGTATATTGATGGCATCAGGCCAGCATCCAAGATAAAGCCACCATAGTCACTATTTCTGTAGCCAAAAGCAGTGGAAGTGGTGCGGGTAATTAGAAAGACACCTTCGGGGACTTTGTATATTTTATTTTGGGTGGTAGCTATCCTGGGGTATGTTGCTGTGGAAAGTTCCGTAACTGTACACTTAGGAAGCTGTGCTTTATACAAGTTTTAAAATGAAAAGCAAAACCCAGATACCCTCTCCTTAGTGTAAACATGTGGAATAAGGTCTGGACGTCTGCTCTGTGGTCAGAAGGTATCACTGTCTGATGACACCCTGTCTGTGGTGATTGAACACTTCGGGAAGCTTGTCTCTCACCCACTTCAATTCTGCTTCCTACACAGAGTCATTTCTTTTTCTTTTGCTCTCTGTATCTTTTTTCTCTTTTTGAGTTCATATAAATGGGTAGGAAGACATTTCTTTCATTAAAGGTGCAGAAAACATAATTTACCAAAGATATGTACACAGTAAACGGGTATCTCAGCTTATATGTGGACTGCACATTACCCTCTGCAGGAGTCCCATGAGCTCTCCTTCCAGTTAACTCACAGGCGCTGGGTCCCTCCCGGTCTGTGTCCTCCTTATCTTGGGTCCAGTGACTGACGACATCTCCCCTTCTCATGGCATTTCCTGTGCTGCATATGTCTCCCTTGTTGTTCCTTTTATGCAGCCTTCATGAAAGAGGGAAGGCATTGAAGTACAGTTTTTAGATGTATTCAGCATTCGTTTAAAAATGACCTCAACATCCTAAAACCTCTCTTTCCACTGCTGCTGACTTTAGTCTTGCTTTCTGTAGAAAAAAATCCTTTACAGAGGTCTCACTTAAAGAACTTCACTGCTACCATATATTGCCCATGAATTGTGCAGAAAGGCATCTTGTCTAGTTGTGATTGTTTGTCCTTAATTCGTATGCCTCCATTGGCCAGTGAGGTGAACATTAGCACATGGCCCTCAAGCCTGTGGGCCTTTAAGCCTGTGGGCAAGGTGTGCTTGAGTTGTGAGGCCCAAGGCAATGCAGAGCCAGTGGATACCACTGAGGACTGCTCTGGCTGGGGCGGGAGAGACCCCACTGTAGCGCCTGCCTGGCATCTGTTTGTACCACACCTTGGTGTGCTTCCCAGTCTCCTCACTCTTCCCTTTTGTGCCTTTCTTCTGCACACTCACTGTGAGCTCTCCTGTAGGCCTGATGCTTGGGCTTTGGGAATGAGGGTGGGAGAGGTTCATAGCTTGATTTTTGGTTTTGAGCCTCAAATTGTGTCTATAAACGAGATAGGACACCATCCTCCAGAAGAACCTGTAGCAAATGACTTATCCAAGAATTTACATATTTCCCTACCTGCAGAACATCACTGGGAATTTGAGACCAGCCTAGGCTATATAGTGAGACCCTGTCTCAAAAACAAAATGGGTGAAAAAAAGGTTTCCCTGGATAAAAGACCATAGATTCCATGTAGATTTTGAGGGACCTTGGAGGCAGAATGTTGAGAACATTTAAAATTTGGAACTATGACATTCTCATCATTGAAGTCATTCAGATAGGCATTCAAGAAACTATGTGTAATTTTTCACAGGTTTTTCTTCTGATCTGTTTTGTTCTGTGAATGCCTCAATTAGCAGCCCCTGTCCCTACTACCAGCACAGAGAAGTTCCCTGAAGATTCTGTAGATGGCATGGGAGGGACTGTGTTTGTGTTGGACAGACACCTGATTCAATTTTCCTCCTCTAGGTCTAGAAAAGGGATTAGCAGATTAGCTAATAAAGTCAATACAGATTTTTTTTTCTTTTTGAGACAGGGTCTCACTATGCAGTTCAGGCTGGCTTTGAGCTCACTTCGTAGCCCAGGCTGGTCTTAAATTTGCAATGATCCTCCTGCCTCAGCCACCCAGTGCTAGGATTACAAGTGTGAGCCACCATGCCTGGCTAAAGCCACTAAAGATTTTAGCAAGGTTTTTCTTATTTTAGAAGTAGCATAGATTAAATTTCACAGGAACAGTGTAATCCCACATTGTGAAAATGTTAATATTAAAAGTTAGACAGTTCAAAATAGTGCTTTAAAGCTGCCAACGTGAGATTATGAGTAAAACCTGGAGCTGTCTTGTGCAGTGCAGGAAGCTTGTTTAAAGACACATGTTTAGGGTTGCATGTGACAGCCAGCTGACCTTGGTAGACATTTGCATCTCGATCCTCAGTTTCCCTGTTAGTGAGGGCACTCATAGGTGCATTGTTTCCCATTCTTCGTGCCAGTGCTTTGGCGGGTTGGGAGAGAGATGCTTTTTTAGTTGCTGGCAGGGCACATTAGACCCTTAGAAGTCTCTTGCATGTCACTTAGCAGTCGTTGTCCTAAGATGTTCCTTTTCACTTGAAGAAATCGCATACCTGCCACATGCCAGTGGATTCCTGAGAAGCTCTTAGAAGTGTATATATTTTAGTATATGAAGACAATTAATTATGGGATAATATTAGTATTTGAAATATATTTGTGGTATTGGCATAACCTTACTTTTCTTATTACCAAATGTTGAGGATCCTGATTAAATTGTACACACACATCCCTTACCAAGAATCCATGTCATTATTAAGAGTCAAGTGCTACTAGACTGCCTGATTATCAACACCAGTGATACAATTTGGAAACCAAAATGATGCCTTCAAATGGAATTGCATTTTACTACTCTAAATAACCATGATAAAGATTACCTAATTTCTCTCTTTTTTTTTAAGTCTTTGAGATAGGGTCTCACTTTACAGCTCAGGCTGGCTTTGAACTTGTTTTATAGCCTGAGTTGGTCTTGAACTCAGAGCAATCCTCCTGCCTCAGATTTCTGAGTGCTGGGATTATAGGCGTGGGCCACCGTGTCTGGCCCTTATTCTTAAATGATGGAGATAATTTTTTTTTTTAACATTATGTTTAACCTGTTTATGACAGGGCTATACATGCATGATTGTCCCATTGGGGAGCTTGTAACACAGTAGTTCAAGCCTACAGGAACACGTTACGAATGTTGCGTTAGGCTAGCAATTCTAGTCACCACTTCCTGAATAGCATCTAGCATGTGTTTGAAGTCTGTATGCCTTCAATTTTGAGGAAGCTCTTGTTTGTGTTTTTACTTGTCTCCCTCATCTGTGAAATGAGGCTGGTACTCTATAGGGAGATTTTAGTATTATGTAAGTAGATATGAGTCATGGCCCAAAGATTCCAGGCCTGGCACTCTGAAAAAAATAGTTTTCTCTTTGGAGTTTACGTGAGTTTAAATTTGGGAAATGGTTGTTTCTGATTTTCTTGAAAACATAGACAATGTGGCAGTGCTGTGCCTACATCTCTCTGTGCCCGAGTGGTGGTAGCCTAGTGTGCCCAGACTTTCACTTTCCCTTTTTACTGGGCTGGCAAACACCCCCCACCCCTGTGCCTGAGTCACCCCTCATAGAGCCTGAGCCATCATGCAGCGTATGCCACTTGGCCTGTGTGGGCCTTGCGATTCATCTTCTGGTAAGCACTCAAATACTTGCTGAACCCTTCTTTCAGTCCTCATCGCTCCCCTCAGACTAGGGGGAGGAAATTGAAATGAAGAGTTAAAGCATTGTTTGCGGGGTCACACAGCTCCATAGTGGGCCAAGTTGATGCATATGTCTACTTCTTTGGTTCTGAAATGACAATTCTTCCGCTAAATCTCTCCCTTTGGGGTGGGTACTAAGGATTGAATCTAGGTCCTTTACACTGAGCTACATTCTCTTGTCATTTTTATTTTTTATTCTAAGCAAGCGTTTTGCTAAGTCACTAAGTTGTGCAGATTGGTATCAGAATTGTAGTCCTGCTGTTAACCGTTGATGGCTCAGACCTTCTGATTAACTGGCTAGATCCTAATTGCTCTTCAAGGGGACCACCCAGTGTGATGAGCAGATTACTAGAAAGCAAGCATAGATGATGCAGTTATTACTCGTCTTTATGATACAGTGGTTTGACTACTTTTGTTGTATGTGCTTTTTTGGGGGGACAATGCCACTTTAGAAAAAATTATTTTTCTAAAATAACTGATAATGTACTAGACAGCTCTGGCTGTCATAACAAAATACTGTACATTGTGTAGCTAAAGTAGCAAAAATTTATTTTCTCACAATTCTGGGGGCTGGAAGTCTGAGGTCAGGGTAACAATATGGTGGGATTCTGGTGAGGCCTCTTCCTGGCTTACAGACATACAGCTGCCTTCTCTGTGGGCAGAATGACCTCTTATTTGTGTGTGCATAGCTCTGTTTCTCTTGTAAGATCATGCTGACCCACTCATTTCAAGGCTGTACCTTTGTGACCTCATTCAACCTTAATTTTGTCTTTAGAGGCTTTGTTGCCCCATGCAGGAACATTAGAGGTTAGAGCTTCAGCATATAAATTTTTTTTTTTTTTTTGGTCTTTTTCCTTTTTATCGGTACCAGGGATCGAACTCACAACTGCCTGCTTGCAAGGCAGGTGCTTATGCCATTGAGCTAAATCCCCAGCCCCGAGCATATAAATTTTTTGTGGACACAGATTATTTCAGAGGATAACATTTTGGAGTACAAAATAATATGGTCTAGAATTTACCTTTTTCAACAGAAGGGAGAAAATGAATAAAGTTTTATGTATTTGGACACTGGTAAAGGGTAACTGACAGTATATCCAAACTGTAAATTATATGTATGCCTACTTTTCCCTTCTTTCCTTCACTACCCATTACATTGGTTTCATTGCTCAAGACCAAATTTAAATCATGTTGCTGCCTCTCATCTTTGCTTACTAAATTAAGTACATACAACTCCTCGCCAATACCACGTGATCTTTACTTCACTCTGTATTAAACTATTTTTCTCCCCATTTTTATTTGCACAACTTTAACCTTACAGAAAAATTAAGTAGTAGTACACTTACATTTACACTTAACATTTTGTCATATTTATCTGTGTGTACACACATACACACATGCAATGTACACTTTTTTTGAACCATTTGAAAGTGACATACATAGTATTTTTACTTCTAGAAACTTTAATGTTTCATCTAATAAGATTTTGAAAAATATAACCATGTCATTTTACAACCAAGAAATTTAACACTGATATAATGACATTGTTTGATATATGGCCCCTACTGAAACGTCTCCAAACTATGAGAGGAGTTGGGGAAGAAATATCCTGTTCCTTATGCCCTGTTTTGTGCTGCTTTCTCAGCTTATGTTTGTTTGTGTCTGTCTGGATGGGTGTGCTTATCCTTCCTGAAGCATGTGCTGGCTCCTCTGCTTCTGTGCCTTTGCCCGGCCTGTTCCTTGTTTGGAGCCTGCACCTGTCTTATTCCATGTGGACCTGGAGGTACCCTGCTCCCATCGCTGAAGCATTTCCTGACATCTGCCCATGGGCTTGTTCCTCCTGTCTTGTTCTTCTCTTTGTCCTGTTGAATAACATTTACTGTGTCTTACCCTATATTAAATGCAGATCTTACGGACTTTTCCTTGCCCTTTTGAGGACTGTGAGCTCCTTGAGTAGGGTCTCTGTTGTTCATACTATTCATTTTTGCAGCTCATTAAATATTTTGTTTAATAGACTTAAATGCAAAGTATTTTACATGATGTTTTACTCTTGGTATAATTCGTATATTTGTAGTGTTGTTTTCTGCTTGGAAAAATAGTCTTAAAATTCTAATTTCCTGACATATGTCCTAAAGAATGGAATATGCTAAATAGTACGGACTTTAACATGTACATAGGTGGGAAACTCCATTTTTTTTTCTGCCTTTGGGGTTTGCATCAGTGGAGGGAGACAGTCAAAGAGGACTGTCTAGTCCAATATGCATAAAGGGATTACATTCCTAGTAGCACTGGTATATTGGGGTGGCATGCAGGAAGTGCTAGGGAATGATACAGAGCAGCTATAAGATCTCTTCTCTTACATCTAGGTGCGAGATGCAGCAATAAACAGCTTAGTGGAAATTTACAGACATGTAGGCGAACCCGTGAGGACAGATCTCAGTAAAAAAGGATTGCCACAGTCCCGGTGAGTGCAGACATTTTCCTTTTTTCTACTTTTTCCCTTTTTCTTTTTCAGATACTACCTTGGTCTTTTCTACTATTTCTGATGTAATTTTATTCAAAGATTCCTTGGCCTGAGGGTTGGTGTTTAGAGATCTTGTCCAGATCATATGTCTGTTGTTCCTTTCCCCTCAAAAATAAGATTCTTGTGCAGACATCTGGCTCAGTCCCAGGCCTCCTGTTGACTTGGGGAGCACCTTTAAAAGTGATTGGTGTTGAAATATTCAGCATTCTTCCTGTTTCTTTACTCTGCACATGGTGCTTACTATGGTAGGTGCTTACAATGTATTTGTTTGAATGAGCAGAGTCTTTCCGGAATTCATCTGGCTAGAAGTACATAAATAATAGTTCTGGAAAGTATCTTTGAAGTGTTTTCATGTCACTTGCAGTCTGTAGAAGACAACACAAGTAGGGCACCCGCATTTTACCAGACCCAAGATAACTTGGGTCCACAGCGATTCTTTATTATAGCAGAATTTTAAAAGTAACAAGTGGACATTTGTCATTTTAACTTTGAGTTAACATTTTAACTTTAACTCATATTATTTTTCCATACTGAGGATTGAACTCACGACCTTGCTCTTGCCAGGCAGGTGCTTGTGCCGCTGAGCTAATACCTATTGAATTCTAAACCTTTGCCATCCGCTGTTGATTTAATGGAAAGTGCTATGAGATTGCAGACCAGTCAGCATAGCAGTGTACTCACAGAGCAGCTCCTCTGGCCTGTCTTTTTCTGAGGACAGCAGGTTCCCAGAGACAAGAGTTGACTTTTGGAAGATTTCACAGCTAGTGAGAGTCAGAGCCAAGACTGAAACCTGTCCTTCAGACTTGCCTTGTAATTTTCCTGGCCCTGGTTCACAAAAGTTGACAGAGCGTTGGGATGGAGCACTGAAATAGTACATGGGAGTCATCTGTCTCGGTGTCCATCAGGCTGTTGTGGTGAAAGCAGGCTGTGCCTTTCCGTGGTGGAGTCAGACCCAATTCCATTGTTATTTTTACTGTGGCTCCCATGCTGTGTACAAGATAATTATATGGGAAAAAATTGCTTTTCATCTGTTTAATCAGAGATAATCTGTGAAGCTGGAATTATAGGTGGGAGCATCCCTAATCTGAAAATCTGAAATCTGAAGTACTCTGAAATCCAAAACTTGAGAGAGTTTGTATTGAACTGGGAAAGTCTATGTGATCTACCCCGCTGCTCCCCTAAAAAACCTAAGAACCCCAGAAAGCCTATAATATCTGAAACACCTCTTTTCCCAAGCATATCATATAAAGGATACTCAGCCTGTGTGTATCTGTGGATTTTGAAGCTCAGCCTTCTGGTTGCCAAATATATGGTGAGAGCACTTAGGAGTTAGAAGAACTTAATGCCAATACTGACAGTCTCTTTGGGAAAACCAGAGATCACAGATAAGCAGAGAGGACTGTTGAAAGATGTCAGCATTGCCCCTTTCCTGCTGCAGGGAAGACCTTACACCTGTTGTATAGTTCATGGTAACCCCATGGCATGAAACATCACCTTGTATAGTTTCTGCCTTACACAGTGGCTTCCTGTGCATTGTTGGTGGGTGATGGTAGCAAATTAGACATCAGGAGAAATGATCCAGAGAACGCAGAACCTGGGGAATTGAGTATAGAAGGCCTGAGATCACTGACCTTAGAAGAGCCTGGTTACAAGACTGGCCCTAGGCGGCAGCTGGAAAGTTGGGTTTGGGGAAGTCTCCCTCTGTTCCCAGAGAGTGGGCTGAGAGAGGCTTGCGGTGTCCTGAATGGACAACAGTGTTGTTTGAGCTGTGTGCCTGCTTTCCTTGGGAGCAGGAAGTATCTTTGTGACCAGCCTACTATAAACACTCTGGACACATCTCTGAGCAAAATTCCTAGTAGACTATGTGTCACTCGTGTCATCACAGTTCTGTGTTGGACAATTTAAGCATGTTTGGTGTGACTCTTCAAAGAGAGGTTCTGAGGATTGCTTGGTCTCTTGTGACTTCTTCCCAGCCTGCTTTCCCATCTGCTACGTGTTCTCTTGTGTTTTTGCTATAATAAATCACAGCTCTGGGTATGTTGCTGAGTTCTATGTGTTGTCCTGGTGAAGCATTAAATCTGAGGTGGTCCTGGGAATGCTAACGCTAGGTATTCAGATAGGACCTGGAAGTGACATGCCAGAGTTAGACTCGAAGCTCAACTCAGTTTCCTTCCACCACTCTTAAATATTGAAAAGGAGTTTGCAGAATAGGTTGGACTTCTGAATAGGGATGGAGGTTTCTCTCATTCACGTTGTCTAAAATCTTTCCTAAGAGTTGTGAACGGAAATGGAGAACGCGGTCATAAGGAAATGGCCGCATCCTTCATAATCATTGTTGTAAAGCTCTGGCAGACACAAATATCTGGAAAACTGTTCTTTACAAACCATATTTAGTGAAACTTCATTTTTCTTTGTATATATTACAAGATCATAATCTAAGATCTGACGCTTTGGAGATCAAGGATCTGATTGGTACCTTTATTTTGTTGGGTGTATGCAAGTAGAGTGGGGGATCATACCCTGGCCTGGGAATTCAGTTTCTGGTATAAGACCTCAAGTAGCTGACTTCTTGTGCCTCATTATGGGTTGTTGTTATTGTTATTTTGTGAGCATATGGATTTTTCAGTGTAGCAAAATTCTGTAATACTAGTAAAATGTTTTAGAGTAGAATTGAGTCCTAGAATAAAAGTCTTGGACTCCTAAGAATTGGTTAATGGAATGATCACTATATTTCAGAATATACTACTAAGAAATATGGTAAAAAGAATGTTATAATAGGAGCTAGATGACTTTAAAAAGAGTAATCTCATTCAAGCAGCACTTTTCGTTTCGTTATCAGTTTGTTGCATAGTGTGGAATAGAAACATATTAAATAGCTTCACTTTGGAGGAACTGGAAATAGAGTTTTGGCCATGGATTAAATTAAATCTTTGTCATTTGTTAGATAAAATCTTACTGATCTGTGTAAGGTAGAAATAGCCAACAAAATCTTCATATTACACTATCTCTCCACCCATGTGGGATCTCATTAAGCAGTGATCCTGAATCAGTAGAATATTTTACCATTTTACATGTATTATTTTTCATAGTTCATGCTTGTGAACTACAAAAAATATGTTCAGAAACTAAGTATATAATTAACTTTTAGCTAAATATATCATATAGTTGTATGGTGTTTTGTGAGGGATACCTCACAACTTAATACAATATAAATCATGTATAGCTCCATGTGACTTACTTTTGTAGACATGTGCTTTCAGTATGCTTTGACATTTACTGTCACCCCAAAGACCCTCCTTGGAAAATAATTTCAGTCAGTGTGGTACGTTTTAGTTTCCAAAGTTTTGGAGAAAAATCAAATTACTGATGTTAAACTTCTTTGGGTACTATCATTTGGTAGCCAGACTCCTAAAGCACCGATGATTTTAAGCCTGAGGAAAATTTACTTGTAGACTGAACAAATACATGTTATCTGGTTCATTATGACTATTTGGTAAGCTTGCTTTGTGATTCTGTTTTTGAGCAGATCTCGGAGTACTTGCTCTGATGCTGTCTTAGCCGACTTAAAGCTTACATTCACTCTAGATATTATTCTATAATGATTGCTTTGGAAAATTGAAGCTTCTTTTTTAATTAGCAAAACTTTAGCATTAGGTCTCATGGCAAAAGCAAATGAGAAATTGCTGTGTCATCCCTTTTTATTAAAAATATTTTTATAATCATTTATATAGAAACAAACAGATTTCTAAGTGCACTTTTAAAAATGCAGTGCCTTACTGCCGCTGCCATTTTTGTTTCAGAAGCAAACATTGTCAACTATTTTCATTGATTCTTTATTTACTGCTGTTTCCTAATAATATGTATATATTGTTACTGAATTTTTTTTTATCATTGAGATTATGTGTGTGCATACACATGCATGCAATGCTGAGGATCACACCTAGGGCTTCACATACGCTAAGCAAGTATTCTACCACGATCCTGTACCTTCCACCCCACTATTAAAATCTTATTTTTCACTGTGGAACATGGATTTCAGCCATCTTTCCGCTGGTGAATATTCTTCATGTACACTTTTCATATCATTTACCAAATGTACGTGTGTTTTCATTTTAGTTGGAACAGAATTTGTTCTGTCATTATATATGCTATTCTAGTTCTTTACTAATACTTGCAAGTCGTCCTCCGCCTGTTTCAGTCGGGAGCAGCTGCTTTCAGTCCCTCGTACACAGTCATTAATTTGGTCTCTCATCACCATCTTGGGTTACCCTCAGTTCACTTTTCTGGACAGATGCATGTGCATTGGCTTCACCTCCTCTAGGCACATTCTTGGAGACCAGGTCTTTCTCAGTTTACTCTCTCATTTAGTTCTGTATATCCTTCAGTAGCTTTCTGAGAAAAAGTGTGGAAAAGGAAAATTACTTTTTATCTGAGAATACCTTTTTACTTCCTAGATTTTCAGCGTATGAAAATCTAGTTTTGAAACTACTTTCATTCAGAGCATTAATGCTTATCCCTTTCACTATTTCTATTGAGAAGTGCAGAGCCATTCTGATTCTTCTTCCTATACAGATAACTTTGATTTGCTTTGAAAGGTTGTAATTTCTTTCTCTTCCTCCTCTTCTTTCTCCTCCTCTTCTTCCTTTTCTTCCTCCTCCTCCTCCTCCTCCTCCTCCTCCTCCTCCTCCTCCTCCTTCTTCTCCTTCTCCTTCTCCTTTGCCTTCGTCTTCTTCTTTGTTATTTTTTAATGACCAGGTGGCCTGGGTTTTAATAGGAATTACTTTGAGAGCTGAGAATATAGCTCAGGAGCATGAGTGCCTCCCTGGCAAGCATGAGATTGGGAGTTCAATACCTGGTACCAAAAACAAAAAAAGGGAATTACTTTGAATCAGCAGGTGATTTTGAGGAATATTGATATCTTAACCTTTAGTCTGCCAATCTGTGAATGTAGAATGTTTTCATTTTTTGGCTTTAATTTTCACATTGTTTTGTAGCTAGAAAACTCAGTAAAAACTTTTAAAAAGAAAAAAAAAGAGTTATAAGAGAATACAATGAACAATTGTATGTTCAAAATTAGATACAGTGTGTGTTGGACTATACTTTTGTGTGGCAGCCAGGTTACACCTCTGCCTTCCCTTTCACTTCCTATTTGTGTAGTCTGAAGGTCAGCAGGATGTCAGATATTTGTACCCTCATGAGTCTCTTTCATGTGCACATAAGCACAACCTTCTAGGTTCTTAGGAATTTGTGGTTAGGAATTTGTGGTCGTTGCTTTCAGAGTTTCTTGTGAATATCTCATTCTATAACTTGTTTTTTTTCACTTTTTGAGCAGCTTCTTTGCCTTGGTGTCTTCTAATCGTAGGCAGTTCCCAGGTTGAATTAATTGTTGCTGATTCATATCAATCATGTCCTGGGATAAAAAGGTTGTCTTAGTTACTTGTTTTGTACTTGACACCCAAAGTTAAAGGAGGAAAGGTTGATTTCAGCTCACAGTATGTAGAGGTTTGAGTCCATAATTGGCTGGTTCCAAAGCAGGGCAGCATGGTGGAGGGACATCACAGAGGAGAACTAGTCCATGGAGTGGCAGGTGGGAAGGCAGCCAGCATTCAAAGCAGTGAGCAGTATCAGCAGGCCTGCCTTCTTTCTCTCCCTTTGTATTTCTTCCAGTCTGTAAGCTATTGATTGGTGCCACCCACCCGGATGGTGTTTTATCCGTTCTTCACCCTCTTATTCCTAGTTTCCACCCTTAATCGTTCATACTGCTTTGAAACTCCCCACCCATTGCTCCGTGAGGCTTTGGAGGAACGTCTAGACATTAGCCATAACTCAGGAAAAGCTCTGACTCAGGCTAAGAGATGACAAGCTAGAGTACCAGGGACACAGTAGCTGAGTCATATGATAGTTGTCTGGGATGGGAGCACCTTGAGAGAGATCCAGATTTGCTCAGCTCCTTCCAGTGGCTACAGGGTCCTGGCTTTGAAACTACCCAAACTGCTAAGGCTGTGGGTTCTTAGCTGACCAACTGGAGACAGGACTATGACACACCTAAGCAATAAAAATTTGTTATTAAGATTCCACCCTTTTTTTTTAAGAAATGTTACTTGGGTGTTCCAAGCCTTTGTTCAACTTCTTGAACTTTTAAAAGGCTGATTTTCAAAGGCTTTGCCAGTGCTATCTTTAATTTTTTGAAGCAGCAGATTTTCAGATGCCCTCATTCTGTCATTTTTTAGGGCTTCTTTCTCTGTTGCTTTACCATTGCAGCGTTTTCTTTATCTTCTCAAAAGTTAATGATATAATTTTTAAACTTTTTTTCTCTTCACAGTCTGTTTTATGAATATATTTGGTTGTTTTGATCTTGTTCATGTTAGGCTCTGCCCACATTATAGCCCTCATATTTAAGGATGTGGGCTAAAAAGTTGACTAGAATTTCTGAGTGTGTGAAACTTGTTGACCAGTGCTTGCTTCCAGGGAATTATTTAAAATTTATTCTTTATCTTATAAAATTTTCTAGGAGCGAATTAATAAGATGTGCCTTTTGGTAAAATGAATTTCATAATGTGTTGAAGAGTTTACTATAAAAATTCAAAATCAGAAAAATTAGGGAAAATAGTAGGTTATTTTTCAAACTAGTAAAGAAATTTATTTACTCCCAAGGGCTGGAGATTGAAAGCAGAGCTAAACATGCATTCTGCTGCTGAGCTATATTTCCAGCCCCAAGATACTTTAAAGTGAGATCCAATTATTTAAAAGAAAAAAAAATTGGTAAGGTAATCGGTAAGTATTCATTGTCTTTAAATCTATAAAACTCACCTTCATAGATTTGTGTATATTCATGAATTCCAAGATAAGCATTTTCAATTGCTCTGCTCAGAACTAGCAGAAAAAAGCCAAACTTCCCACTTAACTGAGCTTTGTGGGTGTAAATCTTGTAAAACCAAGGTGCTGATATTTTGAGGTAACCTGTAGTGGTATTATTGATGGGCTTGCCAAGTGACAGGGGGAATCTTTGTTACTTTAAAAGGGAAAGTGATAGAAACATCTTAAGAAATTGATTCTAAGGCATCTTTCTAGATCTTCCAAAGTCAGTAATTACTTGCTTTGAATGTGTAAGTCTTACTGATATCTGGTCCCGAGTTGGCAGTTGCAGTTTTATTTCAGTGTTCACTTGGATTTACTTAATAGTGGTTGTCTGGAACAATTTTGAGAGGAATTCTAAGGCTGTATCTGGGCTTAGATGGGAAAACAGCTTGAAAAGATTATCAGTACCTCTCATTGACAGGAATGGGAGAGGCAGTGAGTTTAGCAGGCAGGTTTACCCCTTTGTTTTGCTTGTATTTTGGTTTCCCTGTTATTTAGAATTTAAGTTCTAGAGGGTAGGAAGCAACCTTACCCATTCAGTGAGTAGCTAGCTTAGAGTGGGGCTCATAATGGACGCTCCATTAGTGTTGAATAAATGAGTGAATTAACGAACTAAGAGCAGCGGTGAAGTAGTTAAAGTGTCCTGGAGTGAAGTCCAAGGTAGGTTTAGGTTCCTGACACCATGATGTAACTCTCCTGAGGGATTCTCTGCGTGGCATGCGCTTGGTACAGCTCTCAGCCCAACTCCTAAGGAGGTTCCATTCTGGTTGAGAAGAAGAAGCAAATGTGAAAGGAGTAGAGCTCATAGGGCAGAAGAGTGTGTTAAAAAAAGTGTGAAGTAGTTTGGTTGCAGAATGGGTGGCATTGGTTTGAATGCAGAATATGTTGCTTTGGAATCTCAACCTTCACAGATTCTCCAGCATATTTGTGTTTTGTCTGGGAAAGGCTCTTAACTCTTTCTGTGAGGTAATACTGTATTCCTCTTACCTCTAATTTTTGGTGTCACCAGGATGAAATATTTTGACTGTTTAAGGAGTTTTGCTCAATTTACATGTCTAGGTGAAATGATCCATTATAAATATCATGCAGATATTTTAAACTGAAGATTATGCAATCACAGCATTTATTTCTGGAGAATTATAGCAGTAAATTATAGCATTTTGAATTAAGCTGAAGTCACGACTGCCTTTGTGATGTGGTATTAAATGCTGTTTTTAAAAGCTTTATTCAAAGTGACAGTCTGTGATTAGAAAGAAGAGAAATATACACCTTAAAAATCATGTTTACATTTTATATAGAGCAGGCACATCTAATATTTGAGAACAGGGCTCTGGATTCCTTTTGACAAGTCTGGAATCCCCACCCCAATAACCTAGTTCCTTAGGAAGGGATGGGTGGTGATTTCCTTAACTGTATAAGGAGGGATTGATAAGCTTTCATCAGACTGTTGTGAGCCCTACGTGTGACCCTTGAGAGTGAGGCCTCTGGTAAGTGCCGGCCCCATAGGAAGTGCTCAGCTCTTGTTGAGCACTGTCAGTGTTGCTGGTGGAGTTACTAATTTCAAATGAGTTTGTATCATTGATAACTTTTTAAAAACTCTACATTTGATTGACTAGGAATAATGATGACTGGTGATTTATATATTATTTTTTCCACAGGTTGAGTGTCATTTTTACAAAATTTGATGAGGTTCAAAAATCTGGAAATATGGTACAATCTACAAATGGTGAGTAGAAAAAGCAGTTGTATTTCGGTTTTGGTGGGTTTTTTTGGTAGGGGGGTAATTGGGAATTGAACTCAGGCCCTTGTGCTTGCCAGGCAGAAGCTGTGCTGCTGAGCTATATCCCCAGCCCTTCTGTTTTGTTGTATGCTATTTCTAAGCAGCTGAACTAGATATTTTAGTAAAGGTTTCCAAGTCTAAAGATTTCAACTTCATTCTCCTGCTTTCACAGACCAGAAACTATGGAGTGATCACTGCCTTTGTTCTGTAACCTTTATAGAATGTGACTTAACCCTGTTGACTTTCCCATTAAAACACATCCTTCTCACTGTCCCTGATACTATCTTACTGGTATTTTACAGGACTCTTGGCAGCCCCCTAATCAGTTTCTTTGCTTCTCTTTCCCATCCCTAAAATCTGTTTTTCTAATAGCAAACAGAGTGATCCTTTTAGAGTAAGTCAGGTGCCATTATCACCTGTTCACATGCACACCCAGACTGCAATTCAGGGGGTCTCTGATGTCAGTCTTCCTGTTCTTTCTGAAAGTTCCTGTTTTTCCTGAAAGTCCTACCACGTTGGCTTACACTTGCTACTTTTGAACATTCTGAGTATTCCTTGTTTCAGGACTGTGTGCTTACGATTCCTTCTTCCTGAAACATTTGCCACCTAGTGACACTGTCATTATTGGCCTCTCCCTTCCTGCATCCCTAGACTACAGCAGAGCTATGCTACAGAGGTGCCCGGAATAGTAGACTCAGTGCTGCAAGCAGTACTCTGCCCTCGTCCTGCTTGCTGGTTCTCTACATAGTATTTATATGTGTTAATCCCCTTTGTTTCTCCTTATTTTATTTCTACTTAGCATGAGCTGTCTTTCAGAACTCCTTCATATGGAAGGTATACAGTTACTATTGTTGAATTAAGTAAAATGATTGTTAAGTGAATTGTGGTCTATTTCTAGTTTCTGCTTTAAGATATTTGAAGATTAGTGACTAATTCTTGTGATTATAGAAGGAAAGGAAATGACAAAAGTAAATTACTGTTGAGAATGAAAAAGTCACCAGAAAGTCAGTTGCTTACAACTTTTAAAAATTGACATTGTAGCTTTTAAATGGTTAGAGTGATAGGTTATAGCATCACAGATTTTGAAAATCTTGAGATGGTTAAAAAAATTTTTTTTGAGTGGTCTAATAGCAAACAGAGTGATCCTTTTAGAGTAAGTCAGTATAAAGACAAAACAGGCAACAGAACCCAGGGCTGTTACCCATCTCTGCTGTGTTGATATCGTTATTCCAAAGAAATTTTTCTTTGGATAATGTTTCTTATAAAATGTTTATAGTGCTCTAAAATTGCTTTAATTAATCCCCATAGTTTTTCATAGGCTATAAAATCAAACTATGCAAACAGAAAAATTGACCTCACTGTGTTATCCAGTCTGGCCTTGAATTTGGGACAATCCTCGTGCCTCAGCCTCCTGAGACTATGATTACAGGCATGGGCCACCATGCTTGGCCACTTCATGTATTTGTATGTGCTTTATATAGACTTCTTAAGATTGTATGAGCAGTGGTATTGGGGCCAGAACTGTGGTGTCTGAGTAAGTATGCTGGTGATTAAATGGGGTTGATGTATCCCGGGGCAAGGTTTCCCCATTAGCTACCAGACACATGCTTTTCTTTTGTGCGCTTGTGTAGTCTGCATGGTTTCTTGTTTTACAAATCATTGATACTGAGAACATGCTAGACATCAAAGTGGAAGTTGTAGCAGAAAAAGGAGTTGTGCCTTATGTCCTGTAGTTAGTATGAGATGAAATTTCACTACTGTGCTATCACTGGAGAAGACTGTACCTGTGTTGCAGCATTACGCAGGAGAGTGTGGGCTTCTCTGGACATGACAAGTGAGGTGTGGACATCGTGAATGCCATGCAACGTGGCACTGGGTACATTCAGCAACATTGTGTGAAGGATTCCTTTTCCCCCACACCTCAGCAGCATTATTTTTTGATTTCTTGATGATAGCCTTTTAAGAATAAATTTATACTTTAGTATTTTTTTGGAGTTTCAGGTTATTGTGGGATATGCATTAAAATAAATACAAATTTTTAAAAATTCACAATAATGTTCTTATGAAAAACTTGCTTTATTGAAGTATAACGTACTGTACAATTACCCAATTCCAGGGTATAATTCATCGTATCCCATTCCTAGTTCGTTTTATTACATTCTTCCTTTCTAATTCTTTGTATCTTCAGAATATAAGGCTCTTAGAAATAGGTATTTTCCCATTCTGTGGATTGCTTTCTCATTTTGTTTGTAGTATCTTTTGATATACAGAAACTTAAAATTTTTAGAAACTCTCACTTAGCTATTTTATTTGATTTGTTATTGGACAATAATGCTCCTTTGAGAAGGAAAACTATAAATTGGTGCTAAGTTGGAAGAACTATTAATAAAAGGATAGTACTGAAATGAATAAATAGGTTTCATCTTGGACTATATTTCTTGAAATGTTCAAAATTATATTGGTCTGTGGAGCTGGGGATTTAGCTCAGCGGCATAAGCACCTGCCTTGCAAGCAGGAGGTCGTGAGTTTGATCCCCGGTACTGATAAAAAAAAATGTTGGTCTGTGAAGTTTAGTTGATCATACTTGTATGAAACCTATGGACTTAATTTTTTAAAAAATGCGATAGAATTGTAGCCTAAAAGCAGCAGTGAGAATCAGTTAAGTGTCAGCATAAAGTGGGCTTCCTGTCTGTAATAGAATATACTTCGTCTTTGTATGAGTCCTTGTTGCTAGGTTACAAAGGTCCTTTCAGCTTTGAATGGCAAGAATATGGGAGTTAAAAAGATGGTGCTGTGTAAAATTTTTTTCTTTTTTCTATTCCCATATGATTAGCAAACCCCTTGAAGCAAAAATTACAGTTTTTCCCTTCATGAGTTTCAAAAAGCAAATTGTGTTCTATGTAGGTTTTTAAATCATGCAGATGTGCTTATGCTCATGGGAGAATTGGATGTTCAGAATGAATGAGCCAGTAATTATGGACTAGTCAGTGCCCTGTATCTGTAGCCACTTAACGATCTCTGATTGGATTTGATTGAAGTGAGGCCATGAACATTAATTTGGTTTGAAAATACATATGGATTTGAGCTTTATAAGCAAAGCTAACCTGTTTATGAGGAAAGACAGAAAGCACCATGTTGATTAAAATCTGTGTAAACTATAATCTGTAGCTAAACAAAAAGAATATTGGCAGATAAATCTAGAAGATGAATAACAGATAATCATAAAATGGTTAGGGTGTCATTTACTGACAAATGCAAAATAGTTTTTGCTCCCCCAAAAATTGTAACTTGAAAAATGTTACAGGCATTTCTATTTTCTTAGAAATGAGAAATACCCATGCAAGTCTAAAAACAAACAGATCAGTGCTATATTGTGTTAGGTAACGTCTGAATTATTGCCAAGTATATAGTAAGGGCAAAACATTCTTTTAAATGCAAATCTTTATTAAGAAGCTAAGCCGTTATTATCCATACATTGCCTTTAAAAGCAATGATGAATCAGAGAACTGAGTGCCAATAATGGGCTCCCACCCATCCCCAAGTGTTTTAGACTCTGAATCTTGCAGGGTTTGGGATTGTAGCTTAGTATTTTAGGAAAGTGTTTCTGTAGTCACAGATGTACAAATAATGTGTTATAAGGCATAAGACTGGCAGATGTATAGAGTTCTGTTAAGAAGTCCACCTGAAATAACCTGGAAGAGACTGTTTCTAATACCAGTTTAAGTAGCATAAGCAGCAGTGAGCAGCCTATTTTATTTCCTATCTGGAAACAAGATTGCTTTTATGACTTCAGATATGTTATGGATATTTATTTTTTAAGGGAAAAATCAGATAGTTGGTTAAAATATTTAATAATAATATTTAAGAAGGTTTTCTTACACAAGTCAGATAGAAAAGGTTCACTTCCCTGGCCCTTTTTAAAAATCAGTGTTACACTTAGTCTAGGCTTTTATTTTGGAATAGGTTGGTGGTTGTTATTGCTATTGACTCTCCCTGAAGAGGCTGTGGGCTGGCAGAGAGTCTAAGTTGCTTCTGGAAGGTACAGCCCTCAGAGCAGTGTTTTTATCTGGTACCCACATCACTGACAGTCATGACTACTGGGAGAGGTAGGCTATTCTTCTGTATTCTGAAGTGTTTGTAATTATTGCTGCTTGACTCGGAAGTGAATGAAATACTTGAAATATTTTATAAATGCTTTGGTAATTGATGATTGTGGCTAAAACTTAAGGTAATTGCTTAAGGTTAATTATATTTGGGCAGAGAAAACATTAGACAACTTACAGATATCTGAATACTACCATTAACCTTCAAAAGTGGGAGAGAATAAAGAGGGACACAAAGCAGAGATAGGGTGTCTTTTCATCCTTGTATTTTGTATAATTTTAATTTTTTCTGCTCTTTTTATGTTCATAGTATGTGGGTTATAAAAATAAATCTGCAATTGTAAGACATTTTTAAATAAGCTTATAGTGTCCTAGAAATAAATGTACAGGCTGGAAATTTATGAGTTTTACCACCAATAGCATGCAGAAGGAAAGTATAAACGATAGCTGTGCAGGGATGCTGGCTCTGTCTTAAGACTCATTCTTTATATTTTTCCTCCCTTTCAAAGGAGGAATCTATAAATTGCAAAAGTGGACAGGAAAACACAAGAATTACTGTTCACAAACAGCCTTACTGATTAGCCGTCAGTCTTTCCAGTGGAAGTTTTACTCAGATTTGGGCTGCATTGAAGTGATTTTGAAAGACCCTCGGAGAACCAAGTTTATGTTTAAGGAAGAAGGTAGTGGATGGGACCAAAAACAGCCTGTGTGTTGTCTTGATGTCCTAAGGGGATGGCTTTTCTAACACACTTATTAATTTATTTTTTCTGAAGGATTTTTCTAAAACCTTCTACTGAAGCAGGCATTATACAGAATAAAATTGTGCATAATAATAGGTGCTTT